TGTTGATATAGTTGTTTGTTTTTTTACTGATTTAGATCAACATACAATGTTGACTGCTGTACTCCAATTTTTGAAATTTTTACCTATTATGTCTGATTGTTTTGTTTAAACATTGTTGGCAATATAATGTAATTTTATGCGACTGTCATGCAACATGTACAATGAGAGGTTTATCTAGCTATAAAACCAGGTTTAATACACCATTTTCTACATAAGGAAATGTCTGTATCGGAATACGACAGTTGTTTTCCGTTCATTTGATGTGCTTTAGATTTTGATTTTGTCATATAATAAGGGATTTTCCGTTTTGAATTTTCTTTGAAATTCGTTTTTTTTGTTATTTTACTTTTTACTGAAAGTTAGTTCAAAGTCAATAACATCTAATAAAGAAAGTATGTATCTAAGACTATTTGTCAACTTAAATGTAAAGTTGGAAGTTTTGTTGATAATTTATCCCTATTTTTGACATTTTTACCTATTGTGTCTGTTTGTTTTGTTCACGCATCGTTGTCAATATAAAGGAATTCGATGCGACTGTCAAACAAGAGAGAGGTTTAGCTGGCTAAAACACCAGGTTCAATCCACCATTTTCTACATAAGAAAATGCCTGTACCAAGTCTGGAATATGACAGTTGTTATCCATTCGTTTGATGTGTTTGAGCTTTTGATTTTGCTATTTGATTAGGGACTTTCCTATTAGAATTTTCCTCGGAGTTCAGTATTTTTATGATTTTACTTTTTGATAAATGTATTCATGTTCCGTTTTCTTTTGATTTACTTATAATGTCTATATTGTAAGCTTTTGTTTGTTAACTATTGTTGTAAAGCATCATGGATTATTTTAGAACAATTTGTATGCACTCCAAAAGGAACGATATCATTTAGGTCGACAGAGTAAATGTCTCCTGCTATACATGCAGCACCCGCCATGTAAATCCACAATCAGTCAAAATGTAATTATTGAAAATAAGACACAGTCGGTAAAATTACAGATCAAAGAAACTAAATTGTATCTAAAAATTAGTAAGGGACATTCTCGATGTAGCGGAACGCAGAAGGCAAATAACAGCTTCTTAGCGGTCTAAAGAAGTCCCTGCATAAACACTGTCTCTCACGATTAAAAGTCAGTTTGTTGATAAAATGTGAACCAAATATAAATATAGCTCCTGGTATTAGTTTAAGAGGACTTATTGTTTGAGTCAGATAGTTTTGCACATGACATTAAAACTGTATCAGTTGAAATCAAACATTCAGTTTATTATCTACTCAACCTTTTTGGTTGGCGTTTTTGTTAGAATAATTTGTAGGTTTGTGATGTATGTTGACACAGTTACATGTATGACTGCTGGGTCCACATCATTGTCACATTACCCTTTTATGTCTGTATGGGTTGCTAAAAAAATTGACAATATAACGGAACTATAAACAACTGTCATACAAGTGGGAGGTTTAGCCAGCTATATAACCCACCATTTTCTTTGGAAAATGTCTTTATTAAATCTGGAACGTGTAGTTGTTTTTCATTTTTTCGATTGATTGATAGTGTTTGATTTTGTCAGCTTTTATAGACTTCCCCGTTTTGAATTTGCCTTGGAGTTCGGTATTTGTGTCATACTTTTTTTATCAAAACCTTTACTTAGTAAATACTAAAAAAACACCCGCGACATCGAGAATCCGTGACTAAATTAAAGTACCTACACCTTATTTTAAGCCTGGAATTTTAGTATTCGTATTGTCATCTGTTAAAGTCGTGCTGATTATAAGGTGCATACATGTAGTTTTATCTGCTATCATAATCTTTCTGTTTGAACCCGTCCTGGTTTTCTTACTACAACCGGAAAATTCATGTGACAAAGATTGAATTTAGTAGTATTAATCCCTGTACGAAGTTTATGATCTCGTTATTTTAGTATTATAGATTTCGCGGGCAGTATCTCGACTGAGCATGCGCGATAGCGTATAAGACACGGATCGATAACGGTCTCCGAATTTGGATATTTTCTCAAAAATTGGCGTTTTCTGTGGAAAAAAGATTGACCAAAGACAAATTTAGGAAGTACAAAACACTACATTTATACGTCATATCACAAAATTAATATTTCCGACTTTGTATGGTTTCAGAGGAGTTGCGGCTCAATGAAATCGGTCTCTTCCTTTGTAGTATTGATAAGCGTTTGTTACACTTAACTTAACAGAGCTTTCAAAAGCTATTAAGCGGTCTTGCATTTTATATCGATTAAGTTCTTTGAAATAATATGAATAATAAAGAAAGCATTTCAACACTATTCGGGGGGGGGGGGGGGGGGGGTGGGGGATTATTCTCTATAATGATTATACTAGAATCAACCCCTGAATGTACGGTTGTCCTCCTGAAAAATAGGAGGAAATAAGTCACGATCATAAATTATAATGTAATATAAAAAGTAAACTCAGTAAGGTTTATCTGTTACCCGTGTAGCTCCTAGCCTCCTACTAAATCCGTTATTTTGCCAGTTGTCAAATGATCTTATCTTACCAAACGACGCTACCAAGTTCATAAACCGTCTGTACATTCAATTTTCTAACCTTTATTGTCTAAAAGAAATAATCCACAATGCTTTTCAATATAAAAATGGCAGCACACGCTATAAATGTATTGCTTTGTGACACCATACGGCATATTTTGTTAATAGTGAATAAAAAGATGAAACATGCTACACAGAGGACAAATGATCAGTATGCTGGAGTTTCTCATTGACAACATATTTGTTGAATTTGGAGGTAGACTTTTTCAGCAAGTTGTTGGCATTCCTATGGCAACGAACTGTGCGCCTCTCCTTGCCGACCTCTTCGTATTTTCGTATGAGTCGGAGTTCCTTCAGACACTCGTCAAAAACAAGAAAAATCAAAGAAGCCCGATTATCTAATTTCACATTCAGATAAATTGATGATGTTCTTTCCATTAACAGTCCGAACTTTTCTGATTGGGTTCCATTAATATATCCTCCAGAACTAGAAATTAAAGAAACAACAGACCCGGCTTCCTCTACCTCATTTTAAGACTTATATCTCAAATTTGACATCAGCGGTCATCTCAATACCAGAATCTATGACAAACGAGACGATTTTAATTTTAAAAAATATAAATTTTCCCCACCTAAGCAGCAATATATCAACTTCACCTGCATAACTCATTTGGTGTTCAACGGCTTGCCTTTGCTGCTCAGACTTTATAAAACGTCACCAGTGTCTGAGCAAAAAGTTGATGAGACAAGGTTATGTCGAAGGACGTCTCGTCCTGTTTCTGAAAAGGTTAATTGGAAGATACCAAGACCTTGTTGATAAATATTCCGTATCAACTTCACAAATAATACATGATGGTCTTGAAGTATAGATTCTCGGTACTGACGTTGTTTATTATCTTAACTACGTGTTCCCTTTTTTTGTATTTGTATATTTTTAACCTTTACTGTTTAGTCCATTTTTGATAATATACTTATGACGTGGCTCGGTACTTCTACATCCCGCAATTGTGTTATTGTGTTATTGTTAATTTTGAATTCATGTCTTTCATTTTTGCTTATGTACTTTGTCTATATGCCATTTTGTGTTTCTTTGTTAAAAGAGCTATTTGTTGTTTTTTTTACAGTGATTAAGATTATAACACAATGTTGACTGCTGTTGTTTTTACCTATTATGTCTGTTTATTTTGTTCACACATTGTTGTCATTATAATGGAATTCAATGCGATTGTCGTACAAGTGAGAGGTTTAGCTAGCTATAAAACCAGGTTTATTCCACCATTTTCTACATAAGGAAAAGCTTGTACCAAGTCAGGAATATGACAGTTGTTTTTCATTCGTTAGATATGTTTGAGCTTTTGATTTTGCCATTTTATACAGGACTTTCCGTTTTGAATTTCCCTTGGAGTTCGGTATTTTTGTTATTTTACTTTTTATGTAATACCAGTTATGCAACTTCGATATGAACATCCAAATTTGTAGGAAAAGAGAGGCGAAAGATATCAAAGGAACATTCAAACTCGTGAGTCGAAAATAAACTCACAACGCCATTGAAAAAAAAGAAAAATACCAAATCACAAACAATAGTATAAAAACGTAACAAAGAAACCTAAAGACTGGGCCCCATCAAAATCCGGGGTTGATATCAGGTGCTCCGAAGGGTAAGCAGATCCTACTCCACATGTGGCACCCGTCGTGTTACTCATGAATACAGGATAGACAGGACTGGTACATGTATTTTCATCATACACGTTACAAAACAGACAACTCGTAATTGCTTACGAAAGTGTGTCACAATCTCTTTTAAGAGAAAATTTAGTTTGAGCGGCTTATGTTTCTATAGTTTTGAGAAATCTTTGTATGTACATGTAGAATATCGTATGATTTTTATAACGTTTAACATATTTTACAGGCTAAAAAAAAATTCAATATGAACAATGTAAATGCTAATACACGTGTAGAAATAGTGGAAAAATTACCACCCATTAGTAACCAAATCCAGGTGAAAATTAAAGCTTTTGGGCATGAGGTAATGAGTTGCTTTTCATACACTTTTTACTATCATATAGCTAAGAATGAATAAAAATAGTATGAATATTAAATCAATTAAAAATGAATAATACTAAAACGTGTTCAAAAGATAAGTGCTACAAAGAAAACTAATTTACTTATGAACGATTGCAAGACGGAGACAATAAATCCCTACGCAACAAATTAGAAACAAACAAACAAAATAAACAATAAATATTAACTAATGAAGACCAAACAGAATGAACACTCAATGTGTGGCTATTAGAAGTCAAATAAAATTATATACCTCACATTTGCGCAAGTGAAATTCACCACATAGAATGTTTTTGAACATAGAAAATATTGTTTTTTTTTGTGGAACAGTCTGTCTGTCTATCAATATGTTATACTTTCAGTGTTATCAATTTTTGTTCATTTATATTTGATAATATTCCCGATGTAACTAGGAAATGATTTCTTTTTCATAAGATGGTGATGGCTGTATTAATCATCACAACAAATGATCAAGTGCAAAAGATTTTAAGATCATCATCATCATCAGTTTGACATTAATGTTCTATTATTTATAAGTTTATGATCTACGTTGATCGAGTAAACATTTGGCCTGTTGATTGTGGATTGCGGATTGTTGAAAATACTTTTTAAAGTGCAACTAACACAAAATATAAATGTATAATATTTTCGCTAATTAAACCCCCTGGTTTCAATAGCAATTATCACTACAAGAAGGAATCTTAGTGTCATTGCTGTAGCGCTAAGGGACATAATTTATTTGAAGTTTGAACAAAATAAAATTAATTTATTCATAAAGATAAGTGGATTTATTTTGTCATTGAGTTTCTAAATCAATGAATTATAACCCCTTAATCATTTAATCTTACTTACTAATATTTAGTTCCAAACTTACAGAAATTCGAACGATTTCGTCCATGTAGTATGATATGCTTTGCATTTTTCAAACCTTAAAACAATAAAGAAATATTTGTGTTTTTTTTTATTGTTAACACAATTATGCCACCATACAGTAAAAAGTTTTTCCTACTATTGAGCTATTAAAGTTTCAATTGTACTAACAATCTATTAAAAATCCAAACTTAATATCAATATAACTGATGAAAAGAAGTAATACAGATTTTTTGAATAAGGCATTCGCGATGTTGTCGGGTTTTATCATACATATATATAAGCATTCTATATGATAACTTCAAAATCTTAATATATCTAAACTACTACAGGACAATGCATTTGCTATCGGAAACCTTGGAGATATCATAAGAAAACACAGACATTGGCAAGAGTATTTCCCTCGAGTAGAACCATTTTATGGTACGTATTCAAAAGCCTAATATAAATGAAAAGTAAGTGAACTAGGTATCATTGAGATGGGAACCATCTCTGTGGGCCCAGCTGTGAATAATGTGTGGTAAATTTTTTTATCTTTGTCATTGGACATGGGGTTGTCAACTGAAACCAAAGTTTTTGACCTTGACCTTTGACCTAGGAAATTGTACATACATCATGACACACCCTCTGGTGTTGGTTAATAAATACGTCAAGTATAAACTTTGAAATCATAACGGTTCTCAAAATATAGAGCGGACACGATCTTTACCATAGGACATGGGCTTGTCAAATAAAACCAAAGTTTTTGACCTTGACCTTTGACCTAGGAAGTTGTACATACATTATGACACACCCTCTGGTGTTGGTTAATATACATGTCAAGTATAAACTTTGAAATCCTAACGGTTCTTAAGATATAGAGCGGACACAATTTGTTACGGACGGACGGACGGACGGACAGACAGACGGGCGGGCGGACAGACTGGTCACTATAGGGCGTCCGCCATTCGGCGGGGCCCTAATAAAAAGGCCTATCAACAGTTTATCTACGCAAAACAGTGGTAACAAAAGTTTGATTAGTGAACCCCGGGGAGGGAGTCATTCGCCTTAATTCATTTATCCGAACCGAGACAAGACCAACATTCCTTCTATACATAATTGCTATAGGATAATATCATTGTGTTATGTCTCTGTGTGAATTATTGCTCATAATGGCTAATAATAAAATGATAATCAATCCACTTTTCGTTTAGAGTAGATGTCACATTTACTGAATGCACGAAAATGTTGCAAAATAAAGATTAAAAATGCGAAGGTATGAAGTGTTTGAAACCAGAACATTTTTAAGAACAAAACGTGAATTAAAAATATATACGCATGGAGTAGCTGGATAGCCAAAACATTAATCTTTTTTTTTTTAAATTACAGTCGAGTGAAATTTTTTAAGAATTTATATTAATGTGATACCATGCCCGTTTGATTGAAATCCTGTAAAGGAAAATTTGCTTCTTACAATTTTGAGGAATGATGTTTTATTTCCGTTCTTAGTTTTTAGCATTTGTGATCAAGTAGGCATTTACGCAACTGGCAAAATCATAATGTGTAAACATTAGGCCAGGTGAGATAAAAAAAAATAAAGGACGATGAAATATCCCCTTTTTGTAGTACCCAGAACTTCGGTTCTGCAAGGCAAATGCAGAAAAAGTTTAATTGAATTTTTGAAATTTTCAAAATCATGTAAGATTAAGAAATGTATCTAAATCATGCATAGCGGTGATTCGTTGTTCGTGTTAAGCAATGCCTTTCGTCCTTTTTGGCTTTATCAACTCTTCAAGATTTCAATGTGAGAAGTGTTGGATTTTCAAATGTTTAATTTGCCCTCGAGCATCACTGAAGAGACATTTAAAGTTAAAATGTGCATCTGGCGCAGTAGAAAATGCCCCCGATATGTTTAAAGGGGTACCCAACACTTCGACTAGAATAAATTTGGCTCGTTTAATTTTCATGAAACTTTGACAAATACACTTTGACCTGCTTAAAAAACTATAAAAATTTTAAGACATTTGAATCACACAATTTACAGAAATAATTTCATTGGATAGATAGCAGTTTGACGAACACTAATTTTAATAATTGAGAAGCTTGATTTCTCTTTACTATTGTATGTGATTAAAACGTTCAGCTGATTTTTAAAGAGTTAACTTCCTTAGATGTTCTGTATCCTCTTACACGAAATAAGATTTTTAATGTTACTGAAAATGCTGACAAATATAAAGACAATCTTTTTTCAATATGGTATGAATATTTATTTTTTTCCCTGTCACATAATATTTATAAATGATATAAAAGAAATTGGAAAGTAATTACAGCCATTCTACCAAACAAAACTAAACTGAAGTAGGTGATTTTAGTTTTTATTCTGAAGCCGATCCGACTTATTATGTTCGATTCTTTGTTATTTCTCATACCTTTTAAAGTGTATGTAGTTTCATTTGTTTCATCCTCCTGCTTGAAATTATAAAATTATCTGATCATAAGAATGTTTCGATTTTGATATAGTATAAAAATAAGAAGATGTGGTATAATTGCCAATGAGACAACTCTCTACCAGAGACCAAATGACATAGAAGCTAACAATTATATGTCACCGTACGGACTTCAGCAATGAGCAAAAACCATACCGCATGGTCAGCTATAAGAGGCCCCGAATTGACAAATGTAAAACAATTGAAACGAGAAAACTAACGGCCAGGTTTGTGTAATAAACAATAAACGAAATACAAACATGGTATACAGCAGCAAACGACAACCACTGAATTACAGGCTCCTGGCTTGTGGCAGGCGCCCAACCCTCCCCCTAATAGTGTTATTTATTCTGTTTACAGCAATAAAATGTAATGATGTTGAACCTGTCATTAGGATCCTAGCAGATATGGGACTTTCATTTGATTGTGCAAGTAAGGTAATTGAACTTGTTTTTGATAATCAAAACATGGTTGCTGAAAATGTTTAACCATGACTTGCTAATAATTTGGGACATTTTAATGTAATCATAATGACTAATAATAGAACATAGTTTACTACGAGCATCACTGAAGAGACATTTATTGTCGAAATGTTCATCTGGTGCAGAAAAATTGGTACTGTTAATGTTTTTACAGCAGGAAACCCAATGAATTTGAAATGCTTGTGAAGACAATTATTTACGTATTTAATTTTCTGAGTAGTGTCTTTATTATAAATCAGCATATATCATGTCCTAACAAACTATTTTGTTTGCTGCATTGATATAAGTAACAAATTTACAGAAGAATGAAATTCAGTTTCATTATTGGAAATATATTATATTGGTTTAAAGATACTAGTAAAAACTCATTGAAGATACCAGGCTTATAATGTGTTGCCCAACACGCGCGTTTTGTCTAAATATGACTCATTAGTGGCGCTCGAATAAAAATTCGAAGGTCAGATAAAACATGAAGCTGAAGAGCATTAAAAGCTAAAATATTCAAAATTGTCCAAATACTGCGAAGGCAATATATACCCGGAGGTAGAAAACCTTAGTAATCAATATAAAACATAGAATTATACGTTATACTTATCAATGCAACTTACAGATTGAGATACAGAAGATATTAGACCTTGGAGTTGATCCATCAAGGATTATTTACGCCAACACATTCAAACAACCATCATTTCTCAAATTTGCTGCTGAAAATTGTGTTTCTTTGATGACATTCGATTGTGAGGATGAACTAACAAAGATCAAGAAAGTCTACCCAGAGGCAAAGTATGTAGTATTTGAATTTTTTTTTTTTTAAATGTATAGTGTTTACTCCATCTTCAAATACATGCAAAATATGATAATTTGTATATTATGTTGGTTTTTACATAAAAACTTCTATCAAAACGTTATATCGTTTATCGCTTTTTGTAACACAACACAATGTTATTTGGAACAACAATTTATTCAAGCCGGTCTGGACCAGTGTCCATAAAGGACGGTCTCCCTCTAACAGTACAAGCAATAGTTTATATACAATTTCATTTGAATATAACAGTTTATCAAAAATTTCTATTACTTTGACAATAATAGTTTTTATTTTAAAGATACACAGATGAATATCTATCAAGCTGACTTTAATTGACATGTTTTTACCAATCTGGACAATTTATAGTTGTGAATCTTGCGTATGTCCAGTTCATTAATTAATTGTTATTACAGGATAACATGTCAGCATATGGCCTACATGTGTACATGTACTTATATTTATATGTAATCTTGACCTTGAATTAAAACAATCAGTCTAAAACTTATTTGTATAATTTTCTTGATAGATATTTCCGTGTGTTATTTTATTCAATGAATTTTATTAAACATATTAAGAATATATAAATATATATAAATATATATATATTTTGAAGCCCATCATATTGTCACATTTTGACTTTTTCGAATTTAATTCTACTGTCAGGGTCAAATAATTAGGATCTTTATTTTAATTGGCAAATTGATTTGGATATGATCGTTTGAAGAAAAGATTATAAAAAATTGTACAAGTTAGTAACAGTTTTTTTTTTATTCAGACCTTGATTTGAATTATGATATGAATGGAATGTATGTGGGTTGGTTGTGATTGGTGTGGTTTGACAGCGGGTTGCAATAACAAAATCAAAAGATGTCTATAAACCTAAAAACAAATTGTTTTATTACAAAACTGGGTTTTTATTTGTAGATTGGTGCTTAGAATCAGTCCACAATCAAACTACAAAGTTAAATTTCACCTAGGAAGAAAGTTTGGATGCCATCCTTTGAGAGCATCGGAACTCTTGCAAGTTGCTATGAAACTCAAATTAAATGTGATTGGTGTAAGGTAAGGCCATCGAGATACGGTGTATAATCGCAAACAATTAACCGAAGTGCCAATAGGTATAGTTTGTTAAATGACATCTTATTCTAAAAATAAAGTGTGGCTTTCCCTTAATTTGTGAATATTTTTGTCTTGAATGAGCCTGTTTCACACGATTGTCTCTCCTAAAGAAAAGTCAGGGTTTACATTAATCTATTGTGCAGTATACGTACTACAAAAGCGAGCTGTGAGGTATACGTAAATGAGAAAGCAACCTAGATAAACAAATATACATCCGCAGTTATTTACAGTGCAGTATTTTAAGTTATAAAACGCCACGAATCTAGACAAGGCAAATGGTCAATAAATTAAACCAACAAAAATTAACAATCTCTTCCAGAAATCCACGAATTGAACAATATTTATAATTTGTCAACGACCAAACTATAATTTTTACAAATAATTGAATTGAATATCAACAAAACTGAATCATTCAATCAACCCAGTTTGTTTAGTTTCTGAACATTTTAATATGTTTAAATTAACCCAGATTACAAGCACTTACCAAAGGACTTAAAGGCCCTCCATCACAGTACATACGCACATTCCGTGATATTTACATTGTTCAATCTCCTTAAAAGCAAACATTAATGTACCATTACCTTGAAAATGTGGATATGATTGTTACATTTCAAACTTTGTGACGGTTGGTTTAAACTTAAAAGAAAGGTTACTAGTGTTTGTTGTTTCTCGTGAACTCACTGAACGTAATGTTCATGTTGGTCATATATATAATAATCTAATTGTGGCCATTTGATGATAAACTGAATGCATTAATGATCCCTCTGAATTTGCATAACATTAGAAAAATATGTAAGTTCTAAGGAAGTCATTGTGTACGTTGGATAGAAAATAACAATACGGGAGGGGGATTTCTTTAAATAACGTAACACTCAATGCGTTTTGTTAAGTAAGTAGTTCATGGAAGTTGAGTAACAATCACATAAAATCAAAACCGAATACAATCTGAATAAAATAGTTTATAGTTTTTGAGATAATCTCAATTTTCTGACAATAACTTTGTATGAATCTTTTAAAAACTAGTTTCCATGTTGGGAGTGGTTGTCTAGAAACAGGAGCTTTCGAGGCAGCAATTGAGCAGTCACGAAAAGTATTTGACATTGGGTTAGCTATGGGATTTAACATGCACCTCCTGGACATAGGTGGTGGGTTTCCTGGACAGAAAATACAAAATGTGGAAACGAACATTACTTTTGAAGAGGTAAAGCTAAGAATACTTAGACATCTTAACGACTTATGTAATGTGATAAAGACTATGAATTGCTTTTATCATTGTTTATTAGGCACCAACAGTTTTTAATTCTTAGTTTAAACTAATTTAAGGGTATAGTTCAAAGAAATATTGCAATACATCATACTTAAAAATTGTTTCCAATATCATAACTGCATCAATATTGTGTTAATGTTTTCGTAGCTTGGCGTTCTTAATATTTGCTCATATATTATAATTGTGGATGATTAAATACATTTCGTAAGTGAGTTTCGTTCCGGATCAAGCTTGAACTTGACCTCAAACTTTTTCTGTCGCATCTAATGTCAGACATTTAAAATAACCACCATATCTACATATTATTAAACTGTTTTTACAAAGAACCTTACTAAAAAATACACTAAAAAAAGTTAGCATATGATATTGGCGATATTAAGGTAACACGATACCGAATGGCATATCTCCCGATTTCCAAACTTTTTGACACACGTGTTCTTTGAATCGAATTACATCGGAATATGTAATAAAAATTGGGGGTCACCATTTTTGTTTTCTTGGTATTTTGATAGGAATACGTCAATTTTGGCGACAAATTTACATAGGTATATAGGAGAAATGGCTTTTTTTCGGCTTTCCTTTTTAGATTTTCCAATGGATGGATATGTTCTTATATACGGAGAAAAACAAAAAACTAACATAATATCCAGGATTGCATACTGAATCCATACACGTAAAAAACTCATATGTCACTATCCTTGTTTTTGAGATAAATGGCTTCAAAGTTGATCGATATGCCTAGAATTTGACCGAAAACGTATGACGTTATTGAATACAGAATATAACGTTATTTCTACTCAGAGATATGGAAAACAAAATATGTGTCAGGATCTGAATGTTGTTTTTTTATTTTCATTTCCCCTGTCGGGTTTCGTAAATTTCCTAGTTATGCAATATGAAATTCTACTGATATAAATTTATTTCGTCCTGCACATGGAAATTTCACTCACATGAATTAACATTAATCTCGTCTGAATTACACACCAAACGAGCATATACTTGAAACTTGCTTGAACTGGTTGGTTCCACGTGAATCTTATGATAATAGTTCATCATGCATAAATCAACGGAATTTGGTACACGTTGAATTCACGTAAATTTTTATAATAAGATTATTCAAATAATATCTTTATTCTAAATTTAATTAAAATCATGAAAAATACCTCCAAATGTTTGTAAAGTTCACGTGAAAATAACATGAAAAATTTCACGTGTGGTTCATTTGAATTACTGAGTTTTTAACTCCATCATTTAAGACATTGGTGGTGTCATCGCTGCATCCATGCAGAAATAGAGTACTTAAAAAATTTGATTCAGTTAACAGATTTATAATTGCTTGGTTTTTGATGGTTGTTTAACGTTCAGTGGCAAATAGTTCATGCATGTTCGGGACGATACAATACAATTTGGAAAACAGTTGTTTATAAAAGACAAATTTGATGCACCAGTCAAAAAAGGTTAAACATTCTGTTAGTTGTGAAAATTATGAGGGAAAATAATGATCCTGATAAAATACACATTCTAAAAAATAAAATAACAAAACTCAAAGAAAAATTCAAAACTTAAAAGTCCCTTATCAAATGACGAAATCATAAGCTCAAATACATCGAAAGAATGATAAACAGCCGTCATATTCTTGACTTGGTACATACATTAGTATAGTGTACTCTACGTGGTGTAAATGTGTGAGTTGGTTGGTTGAGCAAGTCGGACAAACCTTGCAAACTGTATGCAAAATTTCACAAAGTTCAACAGTCTGTCATTTGTGGAAAATTATTTACAAAACAAATCTTGAGATCATATATTCATTCTTTATAAGTAAAGCAAACCGCGAAATAAAAAAGTTCCAGCTTGAAATTCCACATGTAGGAGATGTAAGCCGGAGTCTGTACACTGCGTTCCTTTTATATGTTATCAAAATGCCTAATCCAGCAACCTGTCAAGACCAAAAAATAAAGAAAATCCAGACGACATGCGTACCTTTAATATGAGTAGTAACACCAGGTAAATAATTTAAACCTGAAGCAAAAAGACTGTAGTCCTTAATAATTAGCCGTATGTATAAACCCTATGTATATATGTCAAGTGCGGGATTGGCGGTCGAACGGACACGGGTGAAACAATATGATGATATGTGCTCTATTGGAATTTTGGTGACAAAACATATTTTTGAATATGCAGTTCATATAATGGAATGGTAATTTGGAGATCTAAAATGAAGTAGCAATGTAAGCAAGCTACTATTTCTGTCATTTTGTCTTTGGTGGAAAGTTGATTAATTGGCAACCTTACCGCATCTCCTTATTTCATTATGGTTTGAATTTTCTCAAGAAGAACAAAAGTTTTAAGACTTAACAAATATGTACTAAGAGACTGAAATGTTACTGTGATAATTATACTACACATACTTTCCAATTTAGGGGACCAACGTTTACTAAAACTACAAATTAGAAATAAAAAGATACTCGTCCAATTAGCATTAGTCACAATTTTCTTGAGGTCTTTGGTTTTGATGTCGTTAAATGTCCAGATGTTGCTATCTTATAAATTGCATATCCCATATCTCCATTTATCATTATAACAGCCAACTTTTGTACAAAAAACATGTACCATATATTTTTTTGTTTTATTTGTACTTGTCCTTTTACAAATAAAGTCTCATGTTACCCCACTTCCATAATGAGCAAGCGGTCGATTGCTTTGAAAAAATTAGAGGCAATGATTTGAATTTTAACAATTAAAGTTATAAGTGACGGGTGTAAATTATAGGATTGATTGTTGGTTGCCTAACGTCCAGTGGCAAATAGTTCATGTATGTTCAGGACGAGAACAAGTTAACAATAAATACAATAGCTAGGTTTTGTAATAGAGGCAATCTGGGATGATGGTCGAGAAAATTTGGACTGACACTGGAAAATGAGGGTATATTGGATAGGGACAGACATTTTGTTTCGCAACAGGCCACCTACGGACCTCTCAAAGAGTTGTTTCAAGGGTTCTTAATGTTCAAAGAGCGTAGAACTCTCTTTACACGAGGCATCGGATTTAACGTCCCCATTCTGACCGGACGTGGCTGCAAACTTGATACATCCCGCACAGCCAAATGGACGCCCCACTTTGGAAGCATTTTCTGACTGCAGGTCGGAAGAAGACCAAGTGACCATATTTCTATTTCCTAGTCATCCTTGGGGTGTAAATTGTAGAATAAAAACAAAATATAAAAATTATGTACATTGTCAGAAATATAAAATTCAATGTATTTGTACTCACTACGAAACAAGTGGAAAGGTCGGCGAGTCTCGCTTTTCATCGTGTTTCTAAAGCTCGTACACATACATTTTATATTACAATGTACATATATATATATAGTATATTTATCCACACAAAGAAATAAAAACAATTCTTTTTTACATGTATATAGATATACTTTTATACTTGTTCTAAAAACTCCTTTTAAGACTGTGAAACTCCTCGGGCTTTTCCGAAACTATATCGGATTTACTCTGTACAAACCAATGATTTTCAGAGACTGTTTACACTTGGAACATAGGGAAAGTTATTCGGCAAAATAAGCAAGTTAAACCACGTTTTTTACATTCCATACTAACAAACTATTTTCTGTATGAGTATCAAAGTCTGCTTATATTGTGCTTTTTCGCCTAATTCTATCCGTATTCTCATTCCGATAAATTTTCTTGTTCCGTTTTGCCCGAGCGGTGTTTTTGACGACCATTTTAACACGAATTAATAGTTGTTTTTTCACACATCATCCCAAGTGTCTATAGATTAAATTTCGACTTTCAAAACAAAATTTCATGGCGATACGGCGCGCATCATGAATAAGTATTTATTGCAAAAATAAACCAAGAATAAAATAAAGTGTTAAAACTCAGTCTGTTATGCATAAAAACATATATAAGATAAATCGTGCAGATGCTTAAATATTAAAGAAACACAATATTTAAAAGTAAAGTAATACATTTTTAAAGGTTAACAATGAGCAGAAGAATTGCCGGAAAACGATAAAGCAATCTATGTCAAATAAGTTAACCGTTACGTATTGCATCAAAACTCTCAGCACTCTACATCTAGGGAAAGTTACCGTTAAAAATGTCACATAATGAATTACCAAAAATATTTTTTTTATTATTTAATGACTTTGTGATTGCAGAACCTGCTGCATTGGCTTGTATGTGTGAACGTTATTCGATAACGTCAGGAACGATAACTCGTGGCGTAACGTCATTCGGTATCGTGTTACCTTAATCAAATCGGATCACAAAACTTCTTGTTTTGATTTTACTTTCCAATAAAGAACTGCAGTTTCACCGAATTGGTCCAGGGCAGGAATCAATATTATGCATAGATGCCAAATGACCGTAAAACCTGGAGTGTTTTGCAAACTATCAGCGTTCTGTTGCTCAACTTGTCATTTTCTTTAATATGTGTTTTAATATTTCTTTACTTTACTTTATAAAGTGTGGCGTCCATTTCGCTGAACTAGTATACATCTGGCATTGTTTAGGGGCAAACTGAAGCCCACCTCCGGGCGTGGAATTTTCTCGCTACGTTGAAGACCCATTTATGGCTTTGAACTGTTTTCTGCTTTTTTGGTCGGGTTGTTGTCTCTTTGACACATTCCCCGTATTCATTCTTTAATATTTTTAACATTTGATTATTGTATTAATTTTTTTATGATAATGTTTAACTTGTCTAATAAATAATTCAGTGTTTAAAATGTCTTTAGAGTAAATACACCCTCTAAATCTGCTTACGATTTTAAATGTGCGATAACTAAGATCAAAAATGGCCGTCTGTGACATATTGTTAAATATTCCAACGATGCGGAGAGTCAAGATTTACAGGAAATAATCAAGTTAATGTAGAATTTAGTAATGAGGAGAATAGACAGAGAATATTAAGAACAGTCTATTAAATCTAACTTTGTCGTTTTTCATTTATTTTTTTATTATTTTTTTTTTTGCTTATTTTTATTTTGGCAGATAGCTCGAGTTGCAAACAAATCCTTAGATAAATATTTTCCCGGAAATGATGTTCGCATTATAGCGGAACCAGGACAATACTACGTCGCATCGGCATTTACAGTTGCCGTCAATATTATTACAAAGAAAATCGTTATGGACGACGAAATCGTACAACCAAGTACGTATTCTTTTCATTAAATCAAACAAATTGAAATGTAGCAAATAATAGATATTATAGATGAACTTGTGATTATATACATTTATATAATTGTAATGTGTTCTTTATGAGACACTTGAGTGTATATGCAAGGAAAAAAATACAGCAAGTATCAAACAATACCACTTTGTAGAGTGTACTTTTACTATTAATGTAGATTCTATGAGCAAGATACAGACTGCAGTGGTATCTCTAAACACAACTGAATGAACAGTAAAACAGAGTTGGAAGATACCAAAAGGGACAATTAAACTCATAAGTCGAAAATAAACCGACAACACCATGGCTAAGAAAGAAAAAGACCCACAGACAACAACAGTACACAAAACACAACATAGAAAACTGACTGAGCAACACGAACCCCAACAAAATTAGATAATGTACAAGTCATCTAAAAGAATGACTAAAAGGAGATGTTTTGCGCACGGCAATGAGACAGCAACTGACCTACCGACATAAAACAATGTCTAGGTCAATGTACGGTCTTCGACAAAAAGTCAATCTTTATACAATATGTACCCTCTGAATCGTTAAGAGTCTGACATTGGGTCTAGCTTTCCAAATTTCATCTTCAGATTCAACAGAATGTGTTGACGATCCAACAACACAGAATGAACCCGTCAGAATGTATATTATCAATGATGGCATATACGGATGCTTTTTCGCATGTTTTGTTGACCCAAGATGTTATGTACCTTCACATTTTAAGGTAGGGGAACATTTTATAATTGTATCCTTTAGCACTTAAATTTCTGAAGAGATTCGATCTGTTATCAGCCTTGTCAGTTCTAAAAGAGTAGCTGGAGATATCAAATTTATAATCAAACTCATAAGTCGAAAACAAACTGACAACGCCATGGCTGATAACGAAAAAATTATCAAAAGACAAACAACAGTTTCATAAAACACAATCGATTAAAAGTGATACGCCAATTGCAAAACTAAAGAATTTTAAATTTGTCACACCCCACAAAAAAACAAGGATAAAAAAATATAGCAAAATTTGGTGAATTTCAGAAAAAAATGTACATTGTATACAAAGATGTATGTTATTATAAAATAAAAAGTTTCATACAAATTACACGGATATATAAACAGACATATCCACCATTGCAACCGTTTTTTTTTTCAAATTTTGTCAAACATCTAAAAAAGTTATTTCTTGTCATAAATTCTTTAATCTGTTACAACCCTTTAAAAAAATCATTAAATATACTAAGTGTATAATTTTGTACATGTTTCGTCTACATAAGACCTGCCAATGGCGTTCGAATCAAATTAGTTTGAAGGCCAAATTCATGGCAAGTTTTTAAAAAGGACCTAGCAAGCATAGGCCTTCAACGAGGAAAATGCTGAAAGGAAATATCTAATTTCTTTTTTATGAAATTTAATGAATTACCTTCTAAAGTTTACACGCAGTATTTATTTGGAAAATATATAACAAATGGTTCAGACTTCTTATTTGACTTCTTCCAGAATATTTATGATTATTTTTTTCTTAATTGCATACCGAACTTTTTTTGCAAATATGAGCAAATGTTTTTTCTTCATGAATATATGGATTTTATACTTATTACTTTTTAGTCTATTGATGAAGAGCTATACAACAGTACTATTTGGGGACCAACTTGTGATGCACTGGATCTAATTATAGACAATGTCAAGCTACCTGAGCTATCTACTGGAGATTGGATTTACTTTAAAGATATGGGAGCATATTCGTTTCCTAACATTTCATCATTCAACAATATGCCAAGAGTCAAGGAATTCTACATATGCGAGAGAAAACTATGGTAGCTTTTTTATTTAAAGTAAATTTGTCTTGTTTGAGAGAAGATTGACAAAAATGAAATATTCTGCTTAAGGTAGTACTGGTGGTGTTTAACGACCTTGACTGGCTGGTAAGCCCTCGCACGGTCGGCTTGGTGCCCGAAGGCGTTTGGTGAGAATTTAAATGTTTTTGTTGTTGTCAAGTTTGAACAAGGCGGTCATTTTGGTTTTGCTGGATTTATTTGGTTTTTTACTATTGTTGTTTGGTTGGTTTGCAGTCTACTTCCTTCACAACGGCTGCTTTCAGGGCCAGGTTGGTCAGCTGTGCAGCCCGCTAACCACGATGATGGAATACCGGCCGATGAGTCTCGGACATAGTAATAACGATGACAGGAAGCATTATCAGGACCAATGTCGTGAGACAGTGAAATGGCGGTCCATTATCCAACCCACCGTTGTTTTTTTTTTTATCTTTTTTCAGTTATTCGACATTTATATACAATAGAACAATAGATAAATTACATATTACACTTACACAAAAATATCACAAGACAATGTTTTAAAGTATATTGGTGTGGTGATCAACATATATCATCAACACAATGATAATCAAAAATTAAATGCTATGACACCTTCAGTCTATTGCACCAGAATATTGTTCTTTAAAAAGTGTTTCTCAAAAACATTTCTCATAGACTGTTCAGCGTTTGATTAGTTTCTGTCATCGAAAGTAGTAAGTCGTTAAGCCATCTATCAGTAAACCAACATCGCGGATAGCGGGTAAAGAGGAGCTGACCGAGCACGTCCGTTCAGTTGTAATGACTGAGACGTGTCTGACTGAATTGTGTCCTGGATGTTAAGCTAGTAGATGATGGAAGTTTTTAACGACCTAGACTGGCCATACAGCCCTCGCACGGCTATTTTTGAATGATTTTCAATGTTTTTTTGAAATTGCGTATTAAGGGGAGGTAACTCTGAAATAGTACATTTTCTAAAGGAATCTACATGAAATTTTGCTATTTTATGTTTTAGCAGGAATAAACGTACGGTGACCATATCTTTTTTTTTTTATATTCTGAAAGCAGTTTTTAAAAGCTATCTTCTCGTATTTTATTTTACAATTCTATTATTTAGTTTAGCTTCTTTTCACAGATTGATGTTTTTTCCTGTATAATCAATACAATATGTGTCATTTTTCCACAACCTGTAGCTTGAGAAAAAGCTCGGTGACCTATCATTTTTTTTATAAATTTCCTGTTTACCATTCTTTGAATTTTTCGAAAAACAGGATTTTCTTATCCAAGGCATATAGATTACCTTAGCCGTATTTGGCACAACTTTTTGAAATTTTGGGTCCTGAATGCTCTTCAACTTTTTACTTGTTTGGCTATATAACTATTTTGATCTGAGCGTCACTAATGAGTCTTATGTAGACGAAACGCGCCTCTGGCGTATTAAATTATAATCCTGGTACCTTTGATAACTATTAAACAATTCGAACGAAACAAACCAACGGCCTGATTTATGACAAAACAATAGACGAACAGACAGCAACCAACGAAAACCAATGAATTACAGGCTCCTGACCTGGGGCAGGCACATACGAAATGTTAATGCTAAAAATGCTGGGGGCGCTCAACACTCCCCCCTCACTAGGGGCAATAGCGTAACAGAACAACACAGGAACAAATTGCTAGTATTAAAATATAAGCTTTAATTCGATTTACAATAGAAAGTAAATGTCTTATTTGATTATACCTTACTAGAAAATACCCGCAAAATATACTTTGGTTCATGATTTGAAGATATATAGTTTTGGTGTAAGGCGATATTAAGATCTAGAATCTTTTTGAAGCGTGTCACAGACGAAATACCACCACTTCGTGCTCAGAACCACCCCCATATATGAGTGGGCTGAACATTTCATGCATTAATATGTGAATGGGGGGTCAGATTCCAGCCGCACTTCTGTACCTATTTTTAACCGAAAACCGAAGTAATCCCCCTACCCTTTAGGGTATACTTTTTGCTGAGCAGACCATAATACTTGCAGACAAGGCGGAAATGATGACGGCACGTACATTTTTGCTAATTTATCCAAAAATATTTCGCAACATGCTCCGTTCCGCAGAACAATATTTTTTGCACACCCCCCCCCCTTTTAACTTTAAATCCTGGATCCGCACCTGATTTCTGGTGTTTCCGTTCTCAGAACCACCCCCATATAAGAGTGGGCTGAAAATTTTATGCATTAATATATGAATGGGGGTTGGTCACATTCCAGCCGCACTTCGGTACCCATTTTTAACCGAAAACTGAAGTAATCCCCCCACTCTTTTCATGTCGAATTGATGCGGTTCCCCGGAAGGAAAAGCTCTTGACGTGTAAAAATCTGTTGTTAAATTGCTGAGAGCGTCAAGGGAATGTGTATCACAAAGTGTTTCAGTGTAAGGTCAATATTTACCGTATCTGCTACGAAATAAAATTTAATTTTGCCGGGCAGACGTGCAATGACGGAAATTATGACGGCACGTAAATTTCAGAGCGGAAAGTCGTGAAGGACGGTCGATCCGAACTGGCCTTTTCCCGATTTTAACCCCCAAATACCCCCCAAAAGATCTTGAAATGAATTCATTTAGTAATATAGATGCCAAGCAGACAACTTAAATTTTTCGATAATAAGCTATCCATTTTTATGAAAAGAATTTCAGCATCAACTGCATTTTGAACCTGGTTTTTACGATTTACTTCAGAACTAGTGCTTCACATTAATTTTACATGTTTAGAGAAATCGACTCCTGCCACTTGGGGATCAGCTTTATTGACATTTCAAAGCCCCTTAGTTAATTAGTTTTAAATGTGCTTCGTGCATGCAGTTTAAGTAGTGAGGGTTTGTAGACTTATGTCTGTTCCTTTGGCGTTTAATCTAAATTTTATTAGTTGACTAAAACGATTTTGATTCCCCTTTGTATGGTCATACTTTATATTTAACTAAACTATATTTTTCTATTTCAGGGAAGAGATATATCAACCCTGATTTCATCTTCGTTGTTTTAGAATAGAAACATTTGAATAGAATGAGTTTGCAATTATCAAGTTCAAATAAAAATAAATTGGAAGCTATTAAACTGTAAAAATGTAATTGTTTTGTTTTGTTTGTAAATCTCTGTTTAACCATCAGGGAGCAAAGTTACATAAAAAACTTCAATTAAAATGAAAGCCTAAGCATATAATCACAGGGTAGACTAGTGTTAGTAGAATTCGAAAATTACAATGGAAAACTTGCATGCGACGTATTGACTTCAATGCTACTTGAGTTTCCACTATCACTCATGCTGTTGTACAACGCAAACGAAAGAGGCAGGGATAATTTCATATGTATTTGTTTCAGTCAAAGGGTCCAAATCAAAGATTTGTGAAACACCACTGGGGATTGAATGTCTTTTTTATATACTTGAAATATATTTCAACGTATCGATAGTTTATTTTTTCGCTAATTGATGTACGATATGTTTGACTGACGAATGAGTGAATGTTCGGATCTGGCGATAAATGTGTCATACTGTAATTCATGGGTTTTGTATCTTCTGCAACAAAAGTCCACTCAGCGAGACAGGAAATATCAAAATTTATACTCAAAACTACAATGTCAATACATCGATTCCGAATTTATATGTCTTTACAAATAATTTTCTTAACTGATATGTTATAATTGTTGTTCCCATGGCATAGACATGAAATTCATTTCTTAAAAACCTTACCTTCGACAATCAGCAAAACCCATACCGTATTATTAAATTAAGCCTATAAAGACCCCAGATTAAAAATAAATATAACAAATTAGACGAGAAACCCTGATTTATCGAATGGTACAGGACACTCCAGAAACACTGCGCTGTAGCACACTTTTTTTTAATCTGTTTTGTATATCTTACTACATAATTGGTCTTTGAACCCCTATCATATCTAGTATAAAATCCCATTAAAATAGATTCCAAATGTAAAAACCCTTAAATTTATAACACCCAAATTCAAAAAATTTAAAACAGTCAAATTTGAAATTGAAAATTGAAAACACCCACACCGTGTTATAAAACACAACTAATATACCAAATTCGTGACACAAGATATATTTTACATGACTTTTAAGTATTTCGCCTTTTATTTTCAAGTTTAAAGGATGTCCTAGTAATCTATATTACTATACCCATTTAAACATTTTACCCACAGATTCTATATGCAACACTAACATTCATTCATAAAAGTCAATAAAACCTCAATAAGGTCATTGACTATTTCTTACATGGACCATACATGATACCATAAACCAGCATTATTACCTGTTATGTTAATTGATATTCTACTTTCCTATACATTATCCTACCCTTTTAAACATAATCTTAAACACAGTCATTATTGGTGGAGAATAATTGCTTCATACTGAAAACTGTTTGAATATGCAGACCATCGTTTGTCACAGTGTCTTCTTTTTAAATTTCAGATATATTTTCTAACCGGTCATGATTTAAATTAAAATATAATTTCAGAACTCACGAATGTTTAAGCAGTAAGTTGATGAGTGAAAGATTTAAAAATTATCACATGGCATAATATGGTCAAATAATCGGAAGGTTCATTCCAGATTCAGAAAGCCTTGATTTTGTATAGTTCCTAAGAAAAAATGTTACGAAAATTTCAGGCATTGCCATTATTTGAAAGACTATATTGAGTTACGAATTTGAAAATGCATCAGACATAAAACACGCTTACTTAAAACTTAATAAAAGAAACCTATCATTTGTAGTTTCGTTGAAAAAAAATGCAACCTTAAACTTTGTAAGAAGGACAGACAAACCGGTGGGAGGACGGACTAGCAGACCACGGAAGGACGCACGGACAGGCGATGACAAAATACAAAAAGACTGATAAATAAATAAAAGTAAAATAAGAAAAAAACTGTTATTTTGTCAGAAAGCACGTTAAATATCCGGCTCAGTGTGTTGGTCTCGTACAAAGCAGGCTGTGTGTTCATATATTCATTTCGCAGTTACATGTTATCGTCCTCAATATGTATTTAGATTGCTTTTGAACGTTGAACATGCACCCATTACCATCAAATTCCTTTGAATCGATTAGAAGTTGTGAGCAATTAAACCGAAACAATAAGAAATCTGCCACCAACAGCCAATGAACATTCTATGATGTCGGTATACCATTTATGCATTAATCGTTTTCTGTCCGTGTGTCAGTTTTTACTTTTTAATCATTTTTATTTTGTAACCCAATAATGACATACAAATAAAATTTCAATTTAGTCTATTTGGATGTTGCAAAGTAAGTTCCCTTACCTGCACTATGTTTCAACTCCCTTAATCAAATTAACGTTAGATCCTTTACACCCTCTGTGCATACTAGCTCATCGCGTACCCAAGTCCTTCATTGACTGTCATTTTTGTGTTTGAGCATAATATTCCAGATGAATCTTAATCCAGAAAAGCGCTTTGGATGCATTAATTTATAAGCCTATTATTGTTAATTTTTAATTTGCTAGCAGTGCATGGATCGATATGGCCGCTGCTGTTGAAATGTTAGTCCTGGTGGTATCATTAGCTCAGTATCATTTGGGATTCGGTACTGCCATAATTTATTACAAAGTGTTCTTTGACTGACAATTCCGGCTATGGTAACTTTCTTGAAGATTTTGTCTTTCTGATCAATTTTGCTGTCCAGAGTTTTTATATATCTACTAAAGTTTTCGCAAAATAAAGATAAGTATCAATCCTTATTAAATGGCAATTACTCCTATAAGGAGTCATCTAACAATTTCAGCTATGTAACCTATGTGTAGCTCTTCTTTTTCTGATCATTTTACTGTTTATAGTAAACTGTTTCTCTGCACCTTCTATAGTTTTTGTTCAAATGACGTGATTAACAAATGTCATTACGTTTGTTCCTTACAATTTCATGGTCACGGTCGCACTTTATATATCCAGCATGGGACAAGTCCGAATAAGAAAAGACACTGACAATGGTGTACATCCAAAGCAGACTTAGCTTAGTCTAATAATTTCAGATGACAAAGTGTCAATACCGGGAAGTTGTCGTATAGCAATACAGAAGAGTTAATACATGAACGTCCACACACTTTATTTCTCCATAAAGCATATACACATCAGTGCACAAAACATATTTACGGAACAGTATATAAACCATGCAATTATATTAACCCGTAGAGTCTCAATATAATATACTCAGGGACCGCTGTGGATAGTTAACTTGGAATTGATAGTAAATAGAAAATATAAGTTATTTCTAGTATATTTATGTTCATATTATACAGTAAAGCGCGAAAATAAATGAAAAAAAAATAACGGATTTTGAAAAAAGGGGGAGGGCTAAAAAAATTGTCCTGTCCCTAAGTACTTATGATTTGTAGATCTTGTCCTGATAATCATTTTTGCGGTTTTTTTTTTGGAAAAGTTTCTCTCTATATATGATAGTTATCAAGAGAAAATGCAAAATTGATAACATTTGGTAGAAAACGTAATTTTATGGCAACTACTTCTTTGGGACGTAATCTGGCACCTTAGACGAAAGGATGTGAGAAGGTAAAACTCGGTAATCTACAAATTCAAGTAATTTTAAAATATCGGACACAAAACGCAAAAATTGATAAAAAGCCATTTAAGACTAACAAAGGATTAATAAATAAATTATAAAATCTATTTCACCAAGTTGAACTTACTGCATATAAAAAAGAAGATGTGGTATGACAACCAATGAGACAACTCTACACAAGATTTCAAATGACACAGAATTAATAATTATAGGTCACCGTACGGCCTTCAACAATGAGCGAAGCCCATACCGCATAGTCAGCTATAAAAGGCCCCGAAATGACAAATGTAAAACAATTCAAACAAGAAATCTAACGGCCTAATTAATGTATAAAAAATGAACGAAATACAAATATGTAATACAGCAGCAAACGACAACCACTGAATTACAGTCTCCTGACTTGGGGACAGGCACATACAAACAGAATGTGGCGGGGTTAAACATGTTAACGGGATCACAACCCTCCCCCTAACCTGCATGATCATTTTCGCTATTAAAACTTTCCTTTTATCTCTTAAAGTTTTCAAGATAAAAGCCAAAGATAAAGCCAACGACATAAAAAATAATAAATAGTAAAAAAACTCATTAGTGAAGACAATACATGTAGCTCATTGTGGACCTTTTGGTCGGGTAAGCTAAAAATATGCACTTTGGACGATTTACTTATTTTGACATGTATATACGTACATGACACTAGCTGTCAAATAATATTGTTTTGTAATAAGGAAACAAATTAAAAGCCAAAACTGTATATAACCTGGGACTATTAAACTATATAAAATTAAAGCTCAAATGGAGTGGATGCAACCGTACGACCTTCAACAATGAGAAAAACCCATACCGTAAGGTCGGCTATAAAAGGCTTCGACATGAAAAATATGAAACAATTTAATTGAGAAAACCAACGGCCTTATTTATAACAAAAAGATTAACGAAATAACAAATATGACAGAATAAACCAACGACAAGCACTGAACTACAGGCTCCTGACTTGGGACAGGCACATAACTGCTTATCAGTGTGGCAGAGTTAAACATGTTTGTCACGGGAGCGCTCAACCCTCCCCTAACCTGGGATATAGTGGTGTAAAAGTACAATATAAGAACAAACTATAAACATCAGTTGAAAATGTATCCACTCATCAGATGGAAACAAATAGAAATACATTTTAATAAAAACAAAGACTGGACGTGGATGGGTATACTTATACATCAACACAACAAAAAGACACTACAAAGTACAGATCTGAGAGTACTCGCAGTTACTGACAGCTAGTTCAAAACCAATAACAACTAATAGAAAAATCATTATTGTAAGACTTAAATATCAATCAGTACTCATCCAATGGATTTAGTGTAAAGACGTCATTAACAGTCAGAGAAAAACATGACCTTGTGTATATCATGCGGCACGGCCAAGAAATAACTTCTAAAGTGAATTCATGGAACAAATCGACATAGAGTGAAGTGTGTTGTACATATTTTGACGAAATACAA